ATTTTTTTCCCACATAGAGTACTTCCTGTTCTTGATTTGCTCTTACATTCTTGCCACACAGAGTCCAAATGATTTCAAGTCTTGTTAAGATATAAGCAACAAATATGCACAAGTCTTACAGCTGAAGCTGTCAGTAAGGTGATATCTCCTTCCACTTTTGATTCCTCAGGCTGTTTGATTCACAGTCATATGGTTTTTAACTTACACAGTTTCACAGATCAAGCCAGACATAACAAAACACATCATTAGGAAGTCTGTCAGTTTTATTATTATTTTTAATTAATAGCAGGTGGGGAGTACCAGAAAAAATAGAGCTGTTCCTTCATAGCACAATTCAGGAAACAAATTATTGCTTTGTGAGTTTTAATAATTGAAATTGAAAATGTTAATAATTGAAATTGAAAATGTTAATGTGATCACTTTATGATCATTGTGTCATTTTAACGACTACAGCAAAAAATCAGGAACGGTCATGTGATGACCCACTTAATGACCAGCATGACTTACGACCATAATTCCAGGCTCAATTACAGTTATAAGTTGAGGACTAATTGTGCAAAAAACTGTAATTTGCAAACACAATGCCACATTATGCCTTACTATGATCAATAATTACAATCACACATTTTCTTCCTCTTTGGAAAACATAGAAAAGTTATATAAATGTTGTTTTTCTGTAAAAAGAAAAAGGAATGTTCTGTGCTGACTCTTTTAAATATTAACTTGAAAATGGAGTCAAAAGAACTTTAACTAGATTAATTTTAATTTAAGGGAATAATACTGCTTCATTAGTTTTGCTCCAAAAATACAGTGCAAGTCCAAAGAAAGCTATTTTGCTTATTCAGATCTGCAACTTTATCTGAAACAAAATAATGACATTTATTTTATCAGCTAAAATAAATGTTGATTACACTGACAGTAGTCTCCTTCAGGCTGATTAGAAATTCCCCTTTCAACAACTCATAGGTCTTTGGTTAAATTATGCTGCTTTTCAGGATAAACTTAAGACATCTAGGTTAAATGTTGGAAAGACTTTAAGATGAAATATATGGAATAGCATTAGAACTACATGCTGTAGAAATATTTGTTTTTGGGAAACTTGCAGAGTTTGAAAAATGAAGTGTTACTCCTGTTAAATCATTTGGCTCTTGAAAGTCAGATCAGAAAGGGAATATCAGTGATAATTTACTTTTTAAGGTACTATATAAAATGAGCCATTTCTTTTCAAAATTGAAAAGTGGGGTTGGATTATTATTATAAATGTAGCTACCAAACCGTATGTTTGGTTTGTAGTGGCCAAAGATATCCTTTTCATCAGCTACATAAATATCCCAAAGGAAGATTACATTTAATTCCAGAACTGATTACATGTTATATCTGGAGTTTACTTTTTTATCTTTCCTATGTTTTCATGCAATTCTCTCACCTGTTTTATTACAATACGATATTCTTAAACAAAGACAGTGTAGTACCTTTTCTTCTCTTTATTTTTCCAGAAATTGTTCTAATGTATATTACAACAATATACATACACAGTGTACAAAACTACTAGTCCATGGTTTAGTGTAAAAAAGAGAGCCAGTGCAAGTGCTTAGATCTGGGCTTTGCCTTTGGCAGCATAGCCAAAATAAGGAATTTGGATGCCATTTAACCTAACTACAATTTACTTTGTTACGTGAATTTGGACAATCATCTATTAATTTTTAATTTTGGTATAATAAAGTGAATCAATGTTCAACTTTTGAAGTTATAATGGAAAATAGTAATGATAGTTTAGACTAATTTATTTATTTGTTTCTTAATTTAGAATTCTAATATATTGCACACTAATTAATAAAAAAATGATACCTGATTTGGTAAGTCCTCACAATACATCATTTGGACATAAATCGATGGTTGATGAATGTGAAATTAGAGCATTAAAGAGAGAACAAACAGTTGGGTTTGTTCCTACAAATAGCATAATCAGAAAATAGGAATCAGTAACTCTTGCATACTTTGTTTCCCCAGGACTAAAATTTATAATTTCACCATTATATACACCTAAATCCCACTCTTTACCAGACAGATACTACATCTAATCAGAGTAGAAATAACAAGCACCATGAATATAATTATGTTGTTTGAATTTGTTTGTATATAGAAGTTGTATTTTCCAACTGAATGCCATTGCTGTTTATCCCACAAATTAAAAGGCTATAGGTTACAATTTTCCTGGAAGATTAAGGTATATTTAGCATAGCAACATGTGACCAAAGCACAAGGTAAAAAAATGTCCAACTTTGAACCTGATCAATCTATAGAGTTCACAAGTTCCAAATAATATTAAAACATCAATTTAGAAAGCAAAACTAAAAAATCTATACCTAGTCATAGAAGAGATTACTTTTCAGAATGCTCTTCTTTGGTGTTAGGAAATACATCAGTGCATGTAATTGAAAGCACACTTTTTTGAAAGACTGAAACAAAGGAATGTATGCTGGGGGGCATGGCAGAGATGTGATGAAGTTATGGAGAAGTAGAGTCTAAAGATTTAGTTCAATACACATTTTACTTTATTTTTCCATAGTCTTATTTTAATTTTTATTAGTTTTTAGAAGTTAAAGGAGTGCCTGCAAATTTTACTCCACCAGTTGTTGCTGACTAAATAGTAGGAGTAGTGCTCATCTCCCTTTCAAGGCCATTCAGCCAGCACTATCTGAAGACATTTCCGTGATCATGTGGCCAGCATGATGTTACGGAGCGCTGTTACCTTCCCACTGAAGTGACATATATTTATCCATTCACATTTGCATGCTTTCAAACTGCTGGGTTGGCAGGAGCTGGAGCAAGGACAGGAACTTACCCCATCACATGGCTCTTGGGTCTCAAACCTGCGTTGCTGGTTTTCCATCCTACAAGCCTAGCATCTTATCCACTGAGCCACTGTGCTGCTCCTTTTATTAGTTAAGGTCATTTAAGCTTAGCTCTGAGATGTTGTCCTGCGAACTCTGGATTCCACCTCATTGCATCTTTCCTGTGTGTGTGTGTGTGTGTGTGTGTGTGTGTGTGTGTGTGTGTGTCTGTAGGTCTTTGGTTATTCGGGTTTTCTTCCGCATCAAATTGGAAGTGTCTTGTCGATGTTTCGACGAAGTCTCATTCGTCATCTTCAGGCTGGTGTTTTCGGCTTCGTGCTTCTAGGAGCAATGTGTGATTGTAGCTGTTTTTCCTTTTAACAGCTACTGTTACATAGGCTGATATTTATTGATTCATGATTTATTGATTCATGAACTAGCATATTTAGCTGCTTAAAATATTGATGGTTAGAAAAAGTTCAGTTAAATCACTAGAATGCAATTTCTGCTTTCACTTAAATACTGAAACTTTTGGTTCGCAGAATACTTTTCACAGCAGTTCTTTATTAATGAAATTACTTCTGGGTATTGCCATGTAAGACAATAAGTGTTTAATTTTGGTTATTCTAATTATCAAAAGTTTGTTAACAAATGTTTTGTAATAAATATACAGACAATATTGGTGCATTCCATAAGAATTGAAGCTTCTATTTTTGTTGGATACAATCAAAATATTATTGTTTAAATAGAAAGAACTATAAATTCTATTTTAGCAACCATCATGTAATTAATATATATTTCCAAAGTGTGATAAACATATACTCTATATGAACATGGAAGTCCTGGTCTCCATAATTGAAATTTTGAGGAGCAAAGACCACCTCTGTTGATAGAATGAAATCTTCTTTCTTCCTTTTTTTTCTGTGCCTAAAATGAGATGACCAGTTAGAGCTAAAATTAGAGATGCAGTGGATAGCTGATTAAATTCAGTGAAATTTTCTCCTGAGAAAACAGTTCTCTACTTTCATCTATTCAATTTGTATGTACTTAAACCATGGATTCAAAACATGTTATAAGTTTGTAGACCTATTTCAGTCAGAGGTCTGTGCTGAAATTGCTTTAATTGGCCTGGTTAGTGATTTGTATCTAGAGTTAGACAGGAGAATAGGACCTGTTTGTTCGCTAAGAACCCTCAATGTCATCAGATCATCTTGAATGCCTTGGGATACTAAGAGACAATTGGAGCTGGAGGCTCTACTTCTAGTAATTGGATCAGCCCTCAAGAGCAACATGGAGAAATTGTCATTCTTGTTACTTGTTGGACTATCGACTCTTCTCAAGGATGTTTACGTATTTTTATGCAACTTTTAGGACATATTGACATTGCAGAGTACACAACAATAATTCTCTGTTTCCTCAGATTCAAGAATAGTAGTTGATTTCTTACACTGAGAACCTTGATTAAGCCTAATCAATACAGGAAATGTAAATGGTTATGTTGGACCAATTCAAAACCACTGCAGCACTGTCTCCCTGGAGATTAAAGTTTTACTGCTTGATAGACTCCCTGAGTTTTGTAGTAGTTTAGGATTTTGTATACTAGCTGGACATAGACACGTCCTTTACTTTTTTAGTAAGGTCCTGCTTGGATAAGTCCACTACATTCTATACAAGACAACTTTGGGAGATGTTATAAAAGCTGCAGCTTTAGAATAGAGTACTGTGGTTCAGTGTTTAATACGAATCCAGTTAAATTGTGCTGATTGCTTTTATTTCCCAGTTCAGTTCAAAATGTTTTTTGAGTAACTCAGTTCAGTAACTGTATCTCAGAATGTTGATTTCAGTGATTAAAGTCCTAAACATCTGGATACCATATAGAAGAGTACCTTTTCCTATAATGCCTCACTATGGTTTCAGTTCTGTAAGGAAGCTATGTTCTGTGTCTTCATCTATTTTAGAAATTACAAGAGTAAAATAGGGTCCATATTATAAGCTGAGAGTAGGGGAAACAGTGTACTGTATATCTTTCTGCCCATTGAGGCTGCATGGGTCTCAGCATTTTAGTAGGGCAAATAAGGATGATTGACCATTTTAACTAAACTTTAATGCTGGTTTGTGGATTCTTAAAAGAGTGTAATTAATTATTCCCTATGCATTATTAAACAGCATACCCTGGGAAATTTGAATGGCCCTGAGCCTGTTAGCCATTACAAAGTTCTGGAAACCTGGGCCAGGAGGTTAGGTGAGCATTAGGTGTTGTTTGTTGTACTTTCTTTTTCTGACTGTTTTTACCTTGGGCACCATGGTTTCATGTTCTGGTTTTGTTGTAATCTCTGAATAGCATTCAGGTTATTTCTAGGAGACTATATAATAAATATTTATTGATTCTTAACTGATCATAATAATTTGCATTATAATGTGCAATGATATTTTGTAAATTGATTTTCATTAAATTATTGTTTATAAATCAATACATTTATTTATGGCTGATATTTATTGAATCTGAAATTTATAGAATTAGATCATTTTCATAACATTATTCAGAATATTAGTGTATTGCATTTTTGAGACTTATTTATTTGAACAGGTAATGATAGGAATCAGAAGCTTAATAATAAATTCTATGTACAAAATATTTTTTCTAGCATTTATGTTTATCATTATTATGTTGGTATTAATATGTTAAATTGAATCTTGTCTACCTATCATAGAACATACAAATAGCATGCTTTGCAATAGCATGTTACATGTTTCCCTGTTTCAGATACAATTTACGGCAGGGTTTCAGAAGTGTCATAAATATCTCACCTGCTTATTGTACAGCACTTCAGTATGATGTCTTATCAACAAGAGTAATCCAAGGTCTGAATGAATAAATTATTCTGCACCTGTTTTTTCTTTTTTTAAGTAAGAATTTCCCACTTTTCTGAAAGATATTCTGCATTATAACAAATTGCTCATTCATACTACATAGCATTGCCTTTCAGTCTATGGAACTCATGAACTCTTATCTACTTATTACTTTGCTCTTTTTTAATTTTATGCTTTGCTTTGCTTAAGTGAATAGATATTGAGAAGCTAGCTTATAATATCTATAAACTTAGTAACTAAAAAACGTGTACACAGTAAGAGATTGACCAGAATGGTAAATTATAAAGTGCATTTTTATTTGGATGGCCTATGGTGATTTTTCCTTGTTAAGTTTTCTTGCTTGAATAGCAATTGATAGTTCTCTGTCTCCTGGCCAGTAGAATGGGCCAGAATGTGCTGCTATTCAGCTCTTTGTTCCCAGAGCAATTGTCAATTGGGTGAAAAACAATGGTGAACTGATCCAGGTTGGGACCACCAAATGTAGGGTGTGGAAAACATAATCCTTATCCCTTTATTTTAAAAAAATTGCAAGCAACTCACAAAGATATGGGGCAATTATAAATGAACTCCACTGGTTTCATTGCAATTGTTTTAAATCCCTGTCGGTGTATTTGTGAATTTTTGTAAACAAAGAGGCTACAAGAGAATTTCACCATATGAACAATGATTCCAAAATATATAGTATCAAGAAGGAAACTCCAATTGGCGGCAATAGTGATAATCTACTGTCATTCTGATTTTGTACCCAGTATACATATCAGCCATAACAACCACAAGCTGCAAGAACTAGATGGCCAGTAGATGCTATACAAGGAGGGTATTTGGTCTTACTGAGCAGGGCTGCTATGTTTCAGGAAGAAGTGAAACAGGCACTGTTTCCATTCTTTATTGTTTTAGCCTCCAGAAATACACTTGATTCCTTCTGGTAAAGGAAGCCCTGCTCTTTTATTGTGACTGTAGCCCACAATAATTTAGGTGTATACATTTGACAGTGTTGATTTTTTTTAAAAGAGGACAATTCAAAAAAAGTTTTTGTAGATTTTATTTTTAAAATATTGGCTGCATTTGCTCTCTCTCTCTCTCTCTTTTGGCCAACTTACAGATCTGAGTATCTTTGGAATTTATATATGTTTGCATTTAATCTGCATCTAACATAGGTAAAGGGGATGGCAGAGAGAATGATGGGGCATCTACAGCTGTTAAGGAATTAGCTTATGCTATAATTTTATTTGTATTTATACTTTTTGTTTTGTGCAAGTTTTAATAGTTACCCTTTGAGGATTTCCAGTCTAGCTTATCAGAATCCACCAACAGCTTTTTTTGTAATATTCTCGTTTCCTTTTTGGTTCAGCCGAGCCCACTGACAGATCATTCAAATTCAATTGTTTTATGTCTAAGCCGAACAGCTAATTAAAGTAGGGATGATTAACCTGACTGGCAGTATCGCTCTCTCACTCCCTCCTGTTCCAATCAGTCTTTCTCTCTCTCTCCCTCTTACACACACACACACACACACACACACACACACACACACACAAACATACACACACACAGAGAGAGAGTCTTTTGCTCTACTGTTTTGTGTGTGTGTGTGTGTGTGTGTGTGTGTGTGTGTGTTTTTCCTCTTCTCTCCTAAACGTGGTCTGCTTGCTGATGGCAGAATGGCACTCGGAGATTTGTGCATTGTGTCTGGTTTCCTACGGGCAGGCTGACCCAGTGCCTCTGGGGACTTATCAATAGACCACTCAGAAGAGACAGAGACAGGAGAAAGGAGGAGGGGTGGGGGGAGACAGAGAGAGAGAGAGAATCAATATCAAGAATAGAAGGAGCTCCGAAGCCATTTTTTTTATTTAAAAAAAAAGTCTATCAGGACTTGGGAAGAGGGTGACAAAGAAGGTTTTTGAAAGAGGCAGTGGAGGAGCTTCTAATAAATTTGGAAGGATACAGTTCCCTGTCTTGGGGAAAAGAAGAACTCCTGGCTGATTAGCATTCACACCAGGTATGAGATGTTCGCTACCCCTTATCATTGCGTCGCAACCGAGAGGAAAGCGCCTTTTCTTTATCTTTTCTTCTTCTTTTGAGGAGATGGAGCGAGCGTGCATTTTTGTGTTTGTTATTGCTGCGAGGGGTGGGGGAAGAAGAGCCGTGGGCATTGGTGTGACGGGAGCAAGAAGAATGGGAGCAGGGCAGTAGCGGCGGAGGGGAGAAGAGTCTGGAGTAGGTGGTTCTCTTCAGGCACCCCCAAGGGGTTACCCAAGTTCATTCTGAGCAGGTGGATTTAGGCGGGGAGTTACTTAACGCTTGACCGCCAGTTTTCAAAAAAAAAAAAAAAATCCCGCTTCCTATGTCTATTAAAGGAAGCGCCAATGTTTCTCTTTCTCCCCCCCCCCCCGCGCTTCCCGCTCTCTCGCGCGCACTGCCTCTCTCTCCCCTCTCTTTTTCCTCTTTTCCTAACCAGACAGCGGGAGGGTTCTTGGCTCATAGCCAGCCCAAAAGCCTCTAAGTGTTTTGCACTTGTTTCAGGGAGTCGCTGCCCGGCGATTTTTTTTCTCTCTCTCTCTCTCTCTCCTTCTTCCAGCATTTTCAGTAGAGAACAAAGAGTTCTTTACAAAGGATAAGAGGGGACTGCGAGCTTGACGCTTAAGATGTTCCCCCCTCTATTTTTAAGGTCCTCCCTCTTCTTTCGAACAGAAAAGAATCCGTAGCAGCACCAAAAGAAGAAAAAGAAAAAGGATTTTTTTCCCCCTCGTAGTGCAAAAAAAGAAGGAAATAGATTCATTTTTTTTCTACTAGCCCTTTTCAAAATAACATTTTTTTAAAAAAAAAAAAATGTAGCTGTTGCTTTTCTAACTTTTACCTGATGGGGGTTCCTTACATAAAAGTTAGGCTGTTCTCTGTCTTTTCTCTTTCTTCCTCCCTGTTTTCTTTTTTCTACTTCTCAAGGCATTTTACCTGGGCAATAGAGGTAAGGGGAATAGGAAAGATTCAATTAAGCAAAAGTAGGATGTGAATGGGAAATTCTTCTACTTTTGGCCACCTGGCCTTCAAAACTTAGTACTGTATGGAAGGAAAGTGTGTATGGCTTGTCTGCTTCTAAATAAAAAGGTTTGCAAGGCTTTTCAGAATTGTAATTTGTTTTGTTATCTATTTGTCACCTTTGCACCTGGTTATATTTATATTACATGTTTTGGGCTCACATATTTTATGTCTATTAAAATATGTATTTGGATATCTATGTAAACAGAATTACTTTGGTTAGTAGTATAACGAATCAAATTATTTTAATAAAAAATATGCGACATAAAAGTATACTAAGACCAATAGTTTTTCATACTATTAAATATATTTTACCCATGCAAGCTTTGGAACATTTATAAGCTCAAAAGGTGTTGCTTTTAATGAAAGTCATTCCTCCTAATACCCATTTCTAATAAGAAAAATAGCAGTTTAATACATCAGATAGGAGTATATGATCTCTATCATTGTGTTAAATATAATTTTAAAGAGATGAAAAATCCGAAGTAATTATAACAATTGTTTTAGGATATAAAGGCTGATAATATTAGTACTATTACCTTTTTCTTTAAAGAGGCGATAAGTTACATTTTTTGCACATTTTATAATCTCACTTAATAGATATAATTTTGGAGGAAATATCTGTATACGTGAGGTTGAAAGATAAGCTATCGTACATTTTACTACTACAATACAGCAGTAACTTTATTGCAACAATACAAGTGAAACTAGCTACACCATGTAAATATAAGTTACTTTAGGAACAATCCCTACTCTTAGGACTCTCCATGAATGAACCTGAAATATTTTGTGAAAAGAAAAGATGATTCAGAAATACTGGAAGCTAATATTTTATTTGGCTTTCTAAAAATAGTAGAAATTGAATAACTTTTAACTGTGCGTTATTTGAAATTATCTTCATGAAAATAAAATTAAATATCAATTGCAATATTTCCATATTTATTGTTTTACACTAAAATATAACAAAATAAGTAATATCCTTGAACTTCTTTATTAACAGGAAGCTTATATATATATTCTGCCTTTTTATATTCTTTTGTTTGCTTTATTTTGTTCTGTAGAATATATGTCTGTTTTCTATCTGGAATTTCAGAAGTAGCAACAGAGGAGAGGGATAGTCAGTGCCAAAATCTATTTAAACCCTTCCTCACTAAGAGTAATCTTCCATCAGATACCTACCTGCATGCAGAAAAGAGAGAAAGAGGATAGGTTTTTCCTGACATTCTTTTTGAATCTAACCTAAGACTAGGGCATTCAACTAGAGAAGAAAAGAGAGGGAAACAGATGAAGGAGAGAAAAAAAAAGAAAACGGAAAGAAAAGCTCTTTGAGCAGGA